TAAGTCTCTGCTGTTTGTTTTGTTTTGGCTTGTTGTTTGTTTTTTAAGTCTATTTTCGATTGCCTAGTTCTGCAGAACTGCGAGAATCCCGTGTCTTGTTTCTATATCTGGTAGTACTTTGCTTAGACAGGAAGTTACATTTTGAAATATTAATGTTTTTAAAACTGAAATTAGTCATAGTAAGGAATAAAGTGTGCCAATAGTGAAAGAAAAGAATTGCAATCTTGTGTTTTATAGATGCTACTTAAAATATAACAAAGTATTGAAATAATTTGTTTCTGTTTTTCTCTTCCTCTTCCTCTTTATAAAGGAGTCAGTCACAGCCAGCACAAGGTTAAGAAAGCTAGGCGCTTCCTCCCTCTGATCTTCTGTTCCCACCAGTCTCCTCCTGCGGGTACTGCACGCCTGTCTGCTCAGGCTTCCTGTTCACCAGAGCGCCCTGAGAAGCTCACTCTAATGACATGCGTGTAGATTGTTGCAACTGGCTGTTAGGGTGTGCTGTCGACTGCCAGGAAGCAATAACGGGGGGCAAGGTTCTGTGTCTGTTCTCTTGCCTAGATGTCTTGTGTGCATGACAGGGCAGGTGGCAGCTCCTTGGTTTCATTTGTGTCAGCGCTTTCCTGTGGGGCTTGGCAGTTGCACCGTTTTTACATTATGGATTTCCTAATACAGCATGCAGCTGAATGGGGACGCCCCGAGGGAGCCCCAGTGTCTGCTGTTTTTGCTTTGGAGCTAGTGTTCAGGGCTGCTGTGTAGTAGAAACAGCCACGTCATTAGGAGAGTTTTCTCGAAAAGCAGAAGTACACGTATAGTTGGAATGATTGTCTCATGCAGCCACTTGGAGCAACCTTTGTTCTGCACAAATTCAAGCGAGACTCTCACTCCTGGCAGGGTAGGGTGTGCCCTTGTCAGGAGGGGCCTGGCTGCCCCTCCCCAGTGGAAATAGGGGCGCCAAGGGGGTCATTACTGATGGGTTTGTTTTCATTTCTGTATGATTGTACATGAATTAACTTTGAGGAAAGAAGTCATTTTCTACTATTTAATTGTGAGGGAGTTCAAATAATTTGGTTTGTGTGGTTGAATCCAGTTGAAGCTCTGTAATACGACTGAGTAGCCTTGTATGATTTGCCGGCAGTTTGAATGTCCTCATCGTGCCTTTAAATTGCAAAACATACCGGCTATGAGAATCCCTCTTTTATCTTTTGAATGAGATTGGGGTGGGAGGAGATTTTTGTTTCTCTTTTTGATTTGCTTGTCATTTTAATAGTATGTTTCCCCCTTCCCTCCCCTCTGTCCTGTCCTGCCCTCCCTCTGTTCCTGCTCCTCCTTTCTTTGCATGCCACCCGGACCTGCAGATGAAATTAGTGGGGACGGTAATGATTCATTTTCACATTTGTGTTACTATAATTATTTGTAAATTGATATAGTTAGTGTTTCATAAAAGGCAAAATGTGATTTTAATCCAGCAGAACCAAGTAGAAAACGCTGTGTGCTGAGGAAGCAAGGCCTCTGAAAGACTGCTCAGGGCCGTGATGAAGGAGAGATGTGTTTCTTTGTCACGACTCATCGGCAAACTTAACTTATATTGATTTGTAGTACATTTCATGGATTTCATGGCCAAAACTGTCCAATTGTGAAAAATTATTAAATCAGTGTCATTATCCAGATAGTATGATAGAGACCCATATACTGTATTTTCTTAGCAGAGTGCAGAAATGAACATTCTTAGTTTGAAAATGTGGTAATAGAAAAGAAAAACTGGAAAGTGATTTCTAAAAGTCACATGAATTAAACTAGGAAATTTCACCTATGTACAGTCTTAGGCTGGGATGAGATATTGATGGTTTGAATTTAATGAGCCGAAAAGGAACTACACGTCTTTGAAAAGTGCGCGGACTTCCTGAGGTTATGGGAATGTGCTTCTAGATTTGTTGCATGATGTCAGTCATAAATTAGCAGCTTTCACTCCTGCCAGCTCCTCACCAGTGTGGTTTTTAAATCGCCACAGATTTCCACGGCCGCTGTGCTTGGCAGAGAGAAGCTGATAACGGGGTTGAGAGCTGAATCCAAGCCTGGAATGACTAGTGGTCAGGTCCTGGGGGGTCTTGCTCTTTGCACACTGCCCCAGCCTGACCCACTGGCCGACAGTTGAGTGAGGTGGCTGAGGCAGGCTGAGGCAATTGTTCTGCTCTTCTGCTTTCTGTGGTGCAAGCTCTCTGAGGGGATGCTGTGAAGTTTCCTGGGAAAGCACAGGCACTTCCATAGAAGTCTCCAGATGGTTCTTACCACAGGGACAGATGCAGTCATTCTTTTTTTTTAATATTTATTTTTATTTTTATTGGAAAGGCAGATACACAGAGAGGAGAGGAAAAGATCTTCCATATGATAGTTCACTCCCCAAGAGGCTGCAATGGCTGGAGCTTTGCTGACCCGAAGCCAAGAGCTAGGAGCTTCTTCTGGATCTTCCACATGTGTGCAGGGTCCCAAAGCTTTGGGCCATCCTTGACTGCTTTCCCAGGATACAAGCAGGGGGCTGGATGGGAAGTGGAGCTGCTGTGATTAGAATCAGCACCCATATGGGATCTTGGTGCGCTCAAGGCAAGGACTTTAGCTGCTATGTTATTGCACAGGGCCCAGATGCAGTCAGTCTTAATGTCTTCCACAGAGTTGAATTTTTCAGTTCTGTGAAGTAGCCAAGCAAGTATACTTAACCCATCACAAGCGCACAATTTAAGCTTAGCTCTTGGATCAAATAAAGCTCATCTGATTTTATGTTGTCCTTTGAACTTGTAGTGGTTTCTAGAATTTTTAATGGTTAGAAAAAAATAACAAGAGTAGTTAAAGTTACATGAAATCACGTCACCCTGTGCACTGTTCACACTGTGCGTAATCACCTCACCCTGTGCACTGTTCACACCGTGTGTGGAATCACCTCACCCTGTGCACTGTTCACACCGTGCGTAATCACCTTACCCTGTGAACTGTTCACACCGTGCGTAATCACCTCACCCTGTGCACTATTCACACCGTGTGTGGAATCACCTCACCCTGTGCACTGTTCACACCGTGCGTAATCACCTCACCCTGTGCACTGTTCACACCGTGTAGTGAGTCGTCGCTCTAGGGCTGCTAGCCACCAAGGTCTTTAGAAAATTACTCATCTCCTTTGTGCCTCAGTTTCCAGCCTGGTCAGCAGGGTAATGGTGACAGTGCTACCGTGAAGGCCTTTGCTGTGTGGTTGTTTTTCACAAGATCTGGCATGTGTAAGCTCTCGGGGGTGTGAGGAATGCAGATCTGGCTTCTTTTGTTGGTGTTTAGATCTTTTGGGCCTGTTTCCCGATTTTCTTGGTGTTTTCTTTCTAGTCAATTCCAAGTTGTGCTTTAATTTTTCACAGTCCTTCAGTATGCGTAAAAAGGCCTGTACTCTCAGTGCCGTTCTGTGCTGCAGTCCTTGAGGCCGGGCAGGAGAAGCATGCTGTTTATAACAGATGGGTGTCGAGGCCCTTGGGAGCAGGGTGGGCATAGTGCTTCACCTCTGCTCCGCAGCAGGGTTTGCTGAGCTTCCCCTCTGTACCAGCACTGGCCCCCCACTCAGGACACTGCCCTGCCGCCTCCGGACGGTGTGCAGGGGCCACCGCACAGGGTGTTGGGGGCTGGAGGAGAGGCGTGAGTGGAGGCCAGGGCTGGCTCAGAGCCAGCAGGCACTGCAGTCCGTGGTAAGCCAGGAGGAAAGCCTCTGCCTTTGCTCTCGTTCTTGGTTGGTTTTCTCCTTGAGCCTAGCTTGACGAGCTGTCGTCATGATGTGTAACTTGAACGCCTCCGTTTAGTCCTTTTCCTTACAAGTTTCTGTTCGCGTTCTGATAAGCCATCTCACCAAGGCCGCAGGTCTTAAAGATGGCAGTCGGCCTGAGTCTTCAGGGAGAGCAGGTGCTTTGGTACAGACCTTCTTCCGTACGGAGTGGTGTTTGTAAATACGCAGGGAGCTGCAGAGAGCCCTATCCTGTATGACCTAGGGAGAGTGCAGACTTGAGCAGTGCCTGAAGGATAGTTGGTTCATTAGCTTTACGTTCTGCCTGCCCAGCTGGCTGCTGTCTGATCATGTTTAAAGATGATTACACATGAAGAAGTGAGTCCTTTCAGTTACCTGTTTTGCTCAGTCTTTATTATAGCAGTATATGAGGAGCTCGCTGTCCTAACGGCAATGAACTATATTTGTACTTTGCTTGGGTTAGCTGAGTGCCACAACAGTGGCAGCATTCCATTTCAGGGACTTCGGAAAGTGCTGCTGTCCTGTGCTAACTGGTGGCTGGGGGGCACGCAGTGAAGCTTTTGTTGTGTCAGAAAAAGAAGGCACACAGGACTTGAGTGGCTTTATGATGTATTGTTAAATTACTCCAGTGGAAATATTGCAACTGTCTTTATTTCCAAAAAAATAAAGAAGGAGAGAGAAATCCCATACCACATTTTCATCTACTATTTATTTTCTCTGAGTGAAAAAGTTATAGAAGATAAATTCTTTAGATTGCAGTTTTTCAACCCTGAACAATTGAGATAAATCAACCCAATTAATCCCCTCAAATATTGGCCTGCCATCTGGGTTCTGAAGGAATAAGTTAAGATTGTGCAGTTGAATCTATTAATCAAACAAGATTGCAGTCTTGTTGGGAGAGATCACGTGAGACAGTGGTGCGCTTTTGAACACGCACGTGGAGTGACTGGTCAGTGCGGACTGGTGCGTTGGCATCATGTCCGGCAGTCTTGTACAAGGCTTCCTCTGCTGGCCTCTTTGCTGTGTGATAAACAAGTCTGTGTGTTGTAACACATTGGACACTGATGTCACTCCTGTCTCCATGAGTGACTCATTGGGACCAAAATTGAGTAGTGTTTAAAATATTTCAGCATAGTAGGAAAGTCAGGCAGATTATTTTGCCTTTTCAAGTGTGTTGAAGACCAGAAGGTCGCCTGGGGAGTAACCTCTGCGCGTGTTGCCTTTCCTGCAGAAACGGACGATTATGCTGAAATCATAGATGAAGACGACACGTACACAATGCCCTCAAGTAAGTAGACCTCCAGTTGTGTCTTTGCGAAGTCTGATAGACAGTACATCGCAGTTGGGTTTTAGACGTGTGCTAACCTCCTCAGAGCCATTTTTTTTTAAGGTTTATTTATTTTTTATTGGAAAAAACAGACTTACAGAGAGGAGAAGCTCTCACAGTGGCCACAGTGGCTAGAGCTGAGCCGATCGGAATCCAGGAGCCAGGAGCAGGGTCCCAAGGCTTTGGGGCGGCCTCAACTACTTTGCCAGGCCACAAGCAGGGAGCTTGTTGGGAAGTGGAGCAGCTGGGACATGAACCGGCACCCATATGAGATTCAAGGCAAGGATTTAGCCACTGAGCCATCACACCAGACCCCTTAGAGCCGTTTGTAATACCTCACTGACAGCTTAGTAAAGATAATCCTTCGACTTTCAGGGTTTTGTGTTATATATGTCCTCTCAAATGAAGGTCAGAAGTATAGCACTCAGCTGTCTAATATTCAGTTTAGTTTCGGGATTTATGTATTCTTCTTGGCTCTGCAGAAATGAAATGTTCGATGATTGTCTCAGAAAATTAGTATTCCTTAAAGGTTACATAAGAATAAACATGCACACATACATATCCGGGAAATTGGAGTTGTTTGTCTTCATTGCTGTTGACCAAGCGGCGCAGCTAACTTGCAGGATGTAACCCCCGTACCGTGGGGCTGGCAGGTGTGCAGGGAGCTCCGAGCAGAGCTTCCGGGGCCAGCGGGGCAGACGCTAGTGCCATCCCCCTGCTCGGTCAGGGACGGTCGGCTCAGAGTGTGCATGTGTGCAGGGGAGAAGCCCTTAACTGCCGTTGCTATTAAACTTATAACCTGCCTTGGAAAGAGGCCCTGGAGGCAGTGGCAATTTGAAGTCTGAGGGTCTTAATTCTAAAAGAGCCACAGATGTTTGTAAAGTAAATATGTGTAATACTTCCATGATGTATGAATAGAAAAGATCCTCTCATTCACATTTTTCTTTCAATTGAAAAGACGTTATCAAAACTGAGAAACAGCCCCACACTCTGGGACTTGCACTGTGCCGGGCAGCTTCTGTCTGCGTTCAGGGAGCGCCTTGGTGAGTGAGGCAAGAGCTGACCGTGTGCGCCGACTGCCGTGGTGTGCTCAGTCTCACTCCACCAGGCTGAGGTTCATGTGCAGTTGCTGGGGTGGGAACTGAAGAGCCGGAAGTAACATCAAGCTAACTTGTAGATACTTTTTTTTCTTGTAGTTTCCTTTTTAAACTCATATTCATGCATAAAATGTTTTCAGAAGTAATTAATGAAATGTAATTTCCAAATATGCTATTGTTAAACTAATTACTATTAGTTATTTCTAAGCAAGGTCTTCAATTTTTCTCTCTCTCAAATGCAATCCAGAAAGCTATGGAATAGATAAAGGTAACAGGAACCTTCACTGCACTTGCAACCTACCGAGTGACATGGAATGTTTCAGTTTCAGTTAACTTGTATTTTTTTAAACTGCTTGTCATTGGTTTACTCATACTGTTAAATCAATGTAATTACTAGCTAAAGTGATTTTAAAGAGGAAAATGACTTATCTAAACTGGGGAATTGAATGTTCTGTATGATTTACAAGTGATTATTTGGCTCGTGGTCTGTCCCTCTGGTGGTCACGCGGCTGGAGCACGGCAGTGTGAGGCGTGGCTGCGTGTTCTGGAATCACAGCACCACACGCACAGCTGGGTGGGAGCCCAGCCTCTCAGTCCCTCGAGGTGGTTTTTCTTTCCCTGTGCCTCAGCAGCTTGCTAAGTGATTGGATACAAAACATGGCAGTCTAATATATTACCATGAGGCACTTGCTCTCAGAGGTAAAACCTGCTCACGGTTTGCCATGTTTGATTTCAAGTTATTTAATTTTGAAATTAGTTTTTAGTTTTAGAAATCAAGTTTATTTAATTTTGAAATTAGTTTTTACACCTCTTTAAATTCTTTTAGCTCCATAAATAATATAGAGATATTATTATAATGACGTGGAAAACTCTTAAACTTTGAAAATATAGGTTTACTCATGATACAGTTTTATGTTGCCTCTATAAAAATCTTAATTATTTCTAAAATAATTGCCTTAAGTAACTTTTAACTCCACATATTAATATCTCAACTAATAGTTCTTAATAATTGAGCATATAATTTAATGTTTGGGCCAATTATATAAAGATACCAAATAAATGGATAGAAGGTTAGACTTTCAAGAACTCCTAAGAGTAACGTGTAAAAAACTATTTTTAGTATAATTATTATTCAGTGGTTTGTCCAGTGCTGTATCTGATCAATACTTTGTCCTAAGTGACATAGTTTAAGAGAGTTCCACTGTGTGTAAGCATCTTCATGACGGGTGTACCAGATGTGAGACTCTGACTGCAGAAGTCCCAGTCGTTGCTGGTCTCTGGGTTAGGCTGCTGGGCCTTGGTGCTGACTGATATGTACATTATGTTTTGCAGCCAGGGATTATGAGATTCAGAGAGACAGAATAGAACTTGGGCGATGCATTGGAGAAGGCCAGTTTGGAGACGTGCATCAAGGGATGTACATGAGTCCAGTAAGTGCTGTAAGACTGTCGCGATCCAGGCTGATTCTGTGGAAATTGTCATCCTGAGTCCTTGCTTCTCCGGATTTTCACTTCTCTCTTTTGAAGCTCATCAGAATCAACTTGGTATATTTAGAAACCTCTCCCGCCCCCCAGGGACAGAATTTTCTCTTTGAAGGGCTGAGAAAGAACATAAGCCTTGGGGCATGCATTGGTGGTGGAATGGGTGAATGTTTGCATGAGATGGCTAGAGCTAAGCAGCAAGCCAGTGTCCACACTTGCCTACGTTTTCAAGACAAGAGTTTTAATTTGCCCTCTGAGAGAACAAATTTCAAAGTTTTTTTAAAGGTTGCCTCTAATTTGTTTGAAAGGCAGAGTTACAGGAGAGATCATCAACCACTGGCTGTTTCCCCAGGTGGCCGCATCATGCCTGGCTGAGCCAGGCCGAAGCCAGAGGCCTGGGGCTTCTGGTCTCCCACGTGAGGGCAAGGGCATGCATGCTCAGGAAGCCATCCTCTCACTTTGCCAGGCACTTGGGCAGCAAGCTGGGTCAGAACAGGAGCGGTGTGGTTCCCGCTGGCCGCAGAGGGGCTGCTGATGCTGCAGGCACCAGTATGCCATGCTGCGGCACAGTGCTGACCGTGCACCGGGCTCTTGGGAGAGTTGGGTGCCTTTCCGCTGGGTAGTCATGGCCACAGTTGGGTTTGCAACATTTCTTGACTTCACAAGACTTGATAATGCTCGCTGTCTGTGCTGCGCACTCTCAGTATCAGCCGCTTACCTGCTGCCTGTCTCAGTTTATACAGAAGACTTCATAGAGGCAGACTCATGCTTTGGTCTGCTCTCACATTTAGCTTCATGCCTTGCACATTCCTCCATTCCTGTGACTGCCATCACCTTTGCTTTCCGTTTCATCAGTTGACAGGTTAATAAAATGTGCATGCGTGAGATGGGTCTGAATATGTTAGCTATTCACTTTTGTCTGTAGCTAGAAGTAGAAGTGCTCCATCATATGATAGCTATGCTCAACTATTTTGAGGAACTAACAGACTGATTTCCAAGAACTGCATCATTTTATGTCCTTGCAGCATGGATAAAAGTGCCAGTATTGAGGCTGGTATGATGGCTCAGTTGGCTGATCTCTACCTGCAAGTACAGACATCCCATGTGGGCGCCCATTCGTGTCCCGGCAGCTCCACTTCCCATCCAGCTCCCTGCCTGTGGCCTGGGAAAGCAGTTGAGGACGGCCCAAAGCCTTGAGACTCTGCACCCGTGTGGGAGACCTAGAAGAAGCTCCTGGCGCCTGGCTCAGGATCAGCTCAGCTCTGGCTGTTTGGGGAGTGAACTAGCAGATGGAAAATCTTTCTGTCTCTCCTTCTCTATAAAAGGTGCCAATATTTTCACATTTGCGACAATACTGGTTATTGTATTTCTTGATTAAGTTAATGGCATTTGCAATTTCTTTTAAAAATAATAGTGTGTAATGCCTCAAAACCTTTGAGTAGCGGAGGCTCCAAGACCTCCTGTTGTCCACTGCAGCAGTTCACTCCCCAGATGCCTCCAGCAGCAGGACTGAGCCAAGAATGTCGCTGGAATCAGCCCTGTGCATGGCCAGAGCTCAGAGCCTGGAGCCCTGATGACTGCCAGAGCTAGGCACCAAGGCCAGCTGCCCCCGGTGGGATGCGGTTGCCCCAGCCCACTCCAGAACTCTGTGAATGCTCTCTTCGGATAGCAGCACAGACCATTGGTCCTGTTTGGATGCCCATACTGTGGAAACTGCAAGTGACTCCGTCTTTGTTGTTTGTTATCCTTGATATGTGAGATTGAACGTCACTTTTGTACCCCAGAAGTCAATTTGTTTAAAAAAAAAAATCATTTGCTGCTCAATAACTAACCTAATTAGAAGTTTAGGGCTTTGTTTTGTTTTGTTTTTGAGATGTATTTTATTTTTATTGGAAAGTCAGTTATAGAGAGGAGGAGAGACAGAGGGGAAGATCTTCGTTTCCCTAGTGGCTGCAATGACTGGAGCTGAGCTGAGCTGAAGCCAGGAGCCCAGAGCCTTTTCCGGGTCTCCCACATGGGTGCAAAGTCTTTCACTGCTTTCCCAGGCCACAGGCAGTGAGGAAGCTGGATGGGAAGTGAGGCCGCCGGGATTAGAACCGGCACCCATATGGGATCCCAGTGTGTGCAAGGCGAGGACTTTGGCTGCTAGGTTACTGCACAAGGCCCAGTTTGTTTGTGTATTTATTTACTTAGTTAGTTAGTTATTTGAAAGAGAGCAACAAACAGTTTTCCATATATTGGTTCATTCTGCAAGTGGCAGTCTGAGGGCTGTGTTAGCTGAAGCCAGGAAACAGGAACTTCTAGATCCCCCATGTGGGTACCGGGTCCCAGGACTTGGTCCATCCTCCTGCACTGCTTTCCCGGGTGAGTTAACAGAGAACTAGGTCTGAAATGGAGCAGATGGGACTCAGCCTAGCACCCTTGTGGGATCCTGGCACTGCAGCAAGGGGCCTCATGTGTTATGCCACATTGCCAGTCCCAGAAATTCAGTTTTTGGGGTTCTGTTTTGAAATTCTTTACTCTTGCACTTACATGAAGTTATAGATTTCTTCCGTACTTTGGCTTGTTGTTTATTCTTCTTTTTATTTGCTCTGTTATTTCACTTTGTGTTGCTTGTTAAGGAAAAGGTTGAAACGGTTACTATATCTATTTGAAAAGACCTAAATCCCACCAGACTATCCCTGCCTGAAAAATATAGCGAAGCCAAGCTTTGCACTGCCCACTGGCACAGCCAAGCCCGAGCTGCTTGCCGCGCTCCGCTCCCTACACCGGCATGCCAGCTCAGAGGACGGCTACTTGCGCATGTCACAAAGGTCTCAGCAGGGCGGGTGGACTGGACTCTCATTCCCTTTTGAAAAAAGTGCCTCGTTTTTGTTGTGAGAGAGAGTGGAGGAGCATTGAGTGCAAACAAGCTTTTCTTAGCTGGCGGACTCCTGGGCAGCCTCTGACAGGCGATGTGACAGCAGGAGGCACTACCCCCTGGCAGTTTCGGGCCCCAGCTCTAGGATCCAGCACCATTTCCCCCAGTCCATGTTAGCACTGGTGTCAGGCATTCCCACGTGGGGTGCTCTCACCACTAGGCCGGGCCTCTGCCCCCGACACTCATTTATAGTATCTACAATCTAGTATTAGCTTAAATACTTGTTTAATAAACCCTGCCCCTTGACAAATAGCAGAGCTCACATTGTGTTAACTCTTTTCTGATATTTGTGAATATGTTTGTTTTTATTGTGTAAGCTTAATTTTGTACTCCAAAGCAATTTTTAAGATTTCTTCTTCTTTTTTTTTAAATGGAAAGATATTTACACAGAGATAGACAAAGATATTCCACACACTGATTCACTCCCCAGATGGCCCAGTGGCTGCTGCTGAGGCCAATCTGAAGCCAGGAGTCAGCAGTCTCCTCCTGGTCTCCCACGTGGGTGCAGGGTCCCAAGGCTTTGGACCATCTTTACCTAAAACTGCCGTCCACAGTTTCCTATGGGATCCTGTTGATTTGCAGCAGCACAATACCTTTCCTTGGTTTTCCCTCGCTCGCCTGTCACCCCTGCGGGTCTCCTCTGCTCCCTGTCTTCACGCCAGCGTGGCCTGCAGCCTCCTTGGCCTCCGCAGGGATTTCACCTTTCCCAGGGATGTGAGCTCAGACTTGTCTGCTGCGCTGCCCATCCCACTGGAGGGATTCGTTATCTCTGTGGCATCACAAGCTTATCAGAGCTGAAGATGAGCTTCCTGTGCTGGACTCTCGGGCCCAATCCATAATCCCACTTCCTCAGCCCTTCTTCCTACTTCCTCTGCTGCTGCCATGCTTGTCCCAGCCACCCTTGCTCATCTGTCACCTGGTTCCATGCGCAGGCAGCATGAGCCCACTGTATGCCCTTGCCTCACTGCAGTCATTGCTCCGTGCCACAGCCCAGGTCCTACACATAGGGGCTCAGGCCTCCATTCCCCATCCTAGCAATTAGATGAGAAGCCGCATCTTTGCGGACCTGCAGCGCCCTCTGTTGCCTGGCATTTCCATCCTCTGGCCTTGACGCGCTCTACAAACACTCAACAGTGGGATCTGCCCCATGCCCCTGGTAACTCAGCTTCTCACACATGACTTCACTGCCTTGCCGGGCCTGTTGCCTCTGCCTTCACTGGCCCGTCACAAAGCATAGAGTCGAAGGTTGCATTGTCAGTCAATAGCCTGTGGCATGTCACAGCCATATCCCTCTTTTACTGTGGGTTTTATACCAACTGGCTGTATTTTAAGTATTCTTACCATTCTTGGAAGATTTTGGAGGTTTGAGTCCAGTTGATCTGGAATCCTGTAGTTGCAATACAGAAAGCCCCTCGTGAGTGTACCCACTGATTAGTACAGAGAGCCTTTCCACGTTTGTGTGATTCTGTACTTTTCCTAACAGGAGAATCCAGCTTTGGCGGTTGCAATTAAAACATGTAAAAACTGCTCCTCGGACAGCGTGAGAGAGAAATTTCTCCAAGAAGCCTGTAAGTTTCATTTCTGTGGAACTCCATGTGACTTTGTGTCTTTGAGTTCAAAATGTCTCTAAAGAAGTGAGAAAAATAACTTAGTTTGCACAGGCCCGTCCTCACAGGGGCTGTGTTATATGGCATGGAGTTAATTCTTCCTGCTTCACATTTTATAAATACATTTATTACAGAATAAGTCATGTTGTGACTTCAATCAATTAAGTCTAACTGCATCCTTAACCCTGTTCTTGAATCTGACTTAAGTACAATACAAAGCCTGGCCAGTAGCTTGTTTTCTTTGTTTTTGTCGTGAGAGACAAGTCTTTTACTTCCCATAACAAATTTGGCTGTGCCATGCTTAATCCAGGAACGCTATCTGGTTCTCCCATATAGGTGACAAGGATTCAAACACTGGGCTCTTTAGCAGGGAGCTGCATTAAAGCCAAGGAGCAGTGCACAGCGCCCCTAGTGGCGGTCCTGCTGCACCGCAGCACCTGCCCGTTCCCCATGCTGTCATCTGGACTGTTGCCTTTCTGAATGCATGTAGGGCCAGAAAACAGACTGCAGCAGACATCAGGAACTAGCTGCTGCTGTGCCTTTAGTGGTGTTCTTATATGTTGAACACTTTTTTAAAATGCAAGTTGTAAAAATTGGTTATCTTTTTCTGCAACTGTTCTGAATAGATATTGTGTTTTGGTGGGGCTTTGGAGTCATTACAAAATTAATTCTGTTATTTTGTAGGAGTAGTCAGGTCAGACTAAGCTTGTTTTGTTCTTGTAAAGCTTATTTGGCTGTTATTTCAGGGAAGTGCAATCTATTTAAGGTATCTGCACTTTAAAAAAAATTATATTTAATTTCTATTTGAAAGTCAGATATACAGAGAGAAGGAGAGAAAAAGATCTCTGTCCACTGGCTGGCTTCCCAAGTGGCCACAGTGACTGTAGCTGAGAGAATCTGAAGCCAGTAGTCGGGACCCTCTTCCGGGTCTCCCGTGCTGTACAGGGTACCAAAGCTTTGGGCCGTCCTCAACTGCTTACCCAGGCCACAGGCAGGGAGCTGGATGGGAAGTGGAGCAGCTGGGATACAAACTAGCACCCATGTGGGATCCCAGTGCCTACAAGGTGAGAACTTTAGCCGCTAGACTACTGCATTGGGCCCTTGGAGTCGTAAAAGCCTCCGGAGGGGTACATGGTCTGTTTACTCCTGGATGGGTTATTCAGCTTTTCTGTAAAGGTCCTGGCAGTGGCTCCCTCAGGCTGTACAGACTCTGCTGGTACTCAGCCCTGGGGTGCTGTGAAACTTCCTTGGACCATTTCAAAGGAGTGAGTAGGACTGGGTGCCAGTGAGATTTCCCTTTCCAGAATTGGGAGGCAGCCTGGACCCTGGCCTCTGGCCCCCTGGCCCAGACCACTAACGGGTTAAAGTTGCTAGTGATGTTTTGCTTAGCATGGGCACATTTTTTTGTGCTTGTAAGGTTCTAGTTAGTATTCTGCTGGCATTTTTAGTAGTTGCTTCAGAGGAAATATGTAAAGACCTGATCATATAAAATTAGACATAAAGCTTTAAAATTTGCTAATAATAAATTGAAAATAAGAGTAAATATGTTTGGTGCCTGAATGTTTATTGCAATATGCTTAAGCACTCTATCTGACAAATAAATGTTGTGGGATTGCTTTGAATTTTGTACTGCATATTTACATTTTTCCCTTTTTTTAAAAAGATTGATTTATTTTTATTACAAAGTCAGATATAGAGAGGAGGAGAGACAGAAAGGAAGGTCTTCCATCTGATGATTCACTCCCCAAGTGAGCGCAACGGCTGGTGCTATGCCGATCCGGAGCCAGGAGCCAGGAACTTCCTCCAGGTCTCCTACACAGGTCCAGGATCCCAAAGCATTGGGCCGTCCTCGACTGCTTTCCCAGGCCACAAGCAGGGAGCTGGATGGGAAGTGGAGCTGCCGGGATTAGAACCGGCGCCCATATGGGATCCTGGCATGTTCAAGGCGAGGACTTTAGCAGCTAGGCTATGCCACCAGGCCCCTTTTTTTAAAATTTGTTTGCAAGGCAGAGTTAGTAAGAGAGAGACAGATCTTCATTCCACAGTTCACTCTGGAAATGGCCAAGATAGCTGGAGCTGGGCCAGGCCACAGCGAGGACCCTGCAGCTCCATCAGGGCCTATGCATGGGTGCCAGGGACTCAAGGATTTGGGCCGTTTCCCACTGCTTTCCTGAGTGCATGAGTGATGCGTGGTAGGAAATGAAGCAGCTTGGAGACAAGTGACATCCATGTGGGACGCTGGCGCTGCAGACAGCAGCTTTCATCTACTGTGCCACAACGCCAGCCCTACCCTTTTACTTTTCGTGTTACATAAAAACCAGCAGAACCATTCCTAGAGTATGGAGAAGGAAGGATGTAAATGAGTAAATCCAAGTGTCTGCTCAGCTCAGTCTTTGATCCCAGTTGCCCAATGCTCCGAGTGACTGTGAACGCTTTTCCTTAGTGACCATGCGTCAGTTTGACCACCCTCATATTGTGAAGCTTATTGGCGTTATCACGGAGAACCCCGTCTGGATAATCATGGAGCTGTGCACGCTTGGAGAGGTACTGTGAACCCAGACCTCGCTTGGCCTAGGCCTGGCGACCCCCAGCCATCTCAGGCTCCAGAGTGCTTGAGTGTGCCTGTGGTGCTGGATCTGCCCTGATAGCGCAATAGATGCAATATGTGTCTTAGATTTGGGGATATTTGTTGTGCTTTGAATGCAAAGGTGTGGGTATAAGTGGCTTTATCATTACGTTCCTCCATACTCCCCACTCAGCACTTCTGCTGCCCAGGTTTTATCAGGACTAAGTAGCAACAAGGGACCAGCTTTGCTGTCTGGGCCAATGCCTACAGGAGTCCAATGATTGGAAGAAGAAACAGTATTGATGGGCAAATGAATGCTGAATTTAGTTACATCTTACCACCTTTTAAAGATTTATTTATATATTTGAAAGAGTTATGCAAAGGAGGGTGGGGGAAAGAAGGCCAAACACACACACACACACGCGTGCGCACACACACACACGCGTGCGCACACACACGTATGTCTTCTGTCTATTGGTTCATTCCTCAAATGGCTGTAGGTGGCTGGAACTCAGCTGGTCCAAAGTTAGGAGCTGCTACTTGGTCTCCCACATGGGGCAGAGACCCAAGCACATAGCAGGTAACTGGATAGGCCAGGACTCAAACCAGTGCCCAAATCAGATGCTGACGTGGTACCCTCTGTGCCACAGCACTGACCCAAGTGGAGGCTCAACTCACTGCACCAAGCCTGCACCCAAGAGCACTTCATATTTTGTTATACTTTTATTTATTCCCTTGAAGCATAGTTTCCTAAATTTTTAGAGAAACTTGTCTGTAGTCAGCAAGGCTCTGATTTCATGTTAAGATTTCAGATGAAGTAGGGTTATTACACTTTCTGAATTAAAATGTTTAATTCATTACACTTTGTTATTCTGAAAGAATTAAAAGCTAAACATGAGTTTCAGATGGGCGGCATTGCTGCTAACTGTAGTGTGTTGCAATGGATTGCTGAGCTCTGTTCCTAATTCGTTTCTCTCTTTTGTCTTGGCATTGTTTCCAAAGCTGAGGTCGTTTTTGCAAGTAAGGAAATACAGTTTGGATCTAGCATCCTTGATCCTGTATGCTTATCAGCTTAGCACAGCTCTTGCATATCTAGAGAGCAAAAGATTCGTACACAGGTAAGATTCCATCGTAAAACTGGGAGTTCCTTCTGAGCAAGCAAAGCAGACAGACTCTGTTCTCACTGGAGCCCTTGGTGCCTGTGAGGCTGCACCACAGTGACTAGAGTCCTGCCAGAGTGGAGAAGCATGGCTTACTAATATACAGAAAGGGAGAGTTACTCCTTCAGCAAATGCTGCCAAGCTCCTGTACTTGATTAGGGCAAAGGGAATGGTTCCCAGAGCAGACAGCGTTCTGGGACTTTCCAGAACACCACGGTGTCACGCACCATTGATGCGTGTTGGCCTTTTGTGGAATTTCTGTTTCTAGTGGATGTATCTGTAGTTTGAATGCAGGTGGGAGAATTTAAAATTTGTTTACCCCATACTGTGTTAGAATTAATGTTTTGCCACCCAACATTAAAATAAACTACATGTGCAAAATCAATTGCAGGTATGTAAATCCCAACTGTCCTCTTTGAATGAGGTCTCATTAGTAATGGCCCAGTTGGACCCCACTCCTGTGTCACTGCTCATCAGCTGGTGCAAGTGATCGTTTGACAAAAACTAGCATTTTTACTAGAGAATGTTCGCTCATCATTAAAAAAAGAGTGTATATAAAGTGAGTTAATTAATGCATACCTTTTCTAGATCTGTTTGTGTTGTATCTTAGCTGTCATTCAAGTAGTGATAAGTGTATTTTTAACATAATGTAGTTTAGTTTATGGATGTTCTTCCTGTGTTGTAGAATTTATTGTGCTAAATTCTTCCCTATCCAGGGATATAGCAGCTCGGAATGTTCTTGTGTCCTCAAATGATTGTGTGAAATTAGGAGACTTTGGACTGTCCCGCTATATGGAAGATAGTACTTACTACAAAGGTAAGACCAGAAATCCCTAATCCCTAATGTGTTCCTTTCTCTCTCTTTTTTATTGGAAAGGCAGGTACACACAGAGGAGGAGAGACAGAGAGGAAGATCTTCTGTCTGTTGATTCATTCCCTAAATGGCCGCAATGGCCGGAACTGAGCCGATCCAAAGCCAGGAGCCCGGAGCTTTTTCCTGGTCTCCCACATGGATGCAGTTTCCCAAGGCTTTGGGCTGTCCTCAACTGCTTTCCCAGGCCACAGGCAGGGAGCTGAATGGGAAGTGGGGCTGCCAGGATTAGAACCGGCGCCCATATGGGATCCCAGTGCGTACAAGGCGAAGACTTTAGCTGCTAGGCTACCATGCTGGGTCCAGTGTGTTCCTTTCTGTTTAAAAAGTGTGTTCTGGTCTGCTTTACTGAGGTTAGGACAGACAGGACTCTGTGCCCATGGACTGGCGCAGTGGGCCGTCCTCCACAGAAACCTGTCTAGATGGTCTCGACTGTCCAGGGTTTAAGGGAAAGGCATATAGGTATCAATCTTTATGATCCAGGACTGACAGAGGAGCTTTAGACTTTATAGCAAAAACAAAGAGCCATTAAAGCTAAAAACTGATCAGTTGGACATGAAAATTAGGAATTAAAAATTATTCTATATATAAGAAAATGCTAACTTCGTGAACAGAAAGCTTTGTTATGACTGTGGTCAGGCCGCCCCCTTGGCTGGGTGTCTGGGGAAGGCAATGATGTGCAGAGGTGGGGGGCAGGCACAGTAGGGGCCCACACGGGCTCCTAGAGCCACCCTCCATGAACACCCCCACCTGCAGGCACACACCCTGACCCCAGAACTTCCTTCTTGCCCACCTTCGGACACTGTAATTGCATCAGGTTCCAACCCCCTTGAGCTGTTAACTTATCAATAGACAGCTGCCTGAGTTTAAGGATAAGTAATATTCAGTCTATGACAGAATCTGTAAGAAAGCTGAAAATATAAGCTATGAGTTAGAAAAAATTATTTCCCAACTATGAAGATTGATTGATTGATTTGAAAGAGTTAGAGAGGTCTTCCGTCCGCAGGTTGACTTGCCCTGATGCCTTAATAGCTAGCACTGAGCTAGCTAAAACCAAGAGGCAGAAGCTTCTCCCAAGTCTCACACATGGGTTGCAGGACCCTGAACAGTTGGGCCATTTTCTGCTGCTTTTCCAGGCCATTAACCAGGAGCTAGATCAAAAGTGGAGCAGCTGGGACTCAGCCAAGTTCTTCTCTGGGAAGCCTGTGTTATAGGGAGTGGCTTTGCCTGCTGTGTCACAGTACTATCCCAGCAGATTCTTTTAAAATTAAACATAGAGGTACCCTACAAAACAGCCTGTATGTTCCTAGGCATGGATCTCAAATAAATGAATGAATACTTCCTCTTGGATATTGAGTGCCATTTTATCTTTAATGGCCAGAAGTTGTTATCAACCCACAGATGTTTAGACTGATCTGACAGTTAATACCTGACAGCAGAGTGAGAGAGTGACCCATGAGTATTTGGTCTACTTACTCTAGTTCCTCTTACTTCTATCTCTCCCCCTCCATTTTTTGTTCTCTTCCTCCCTTTTAGATTAAATAAAACTTTTTTTTAAAAACAATTATTTTTTATGGGAAAATCAGATATACAGAGAGGAGGAGAGACAGAGAGGAAGATCTTTCGCCTGATGGTTCACTCTGCAAGTGACTGCAACCAGCCAGAGCTGAGCCAATCTGAAACCAGGAACCCAGAGCTTCCTTGAGCTTTCCCACGCAGGTGCAGGGTGCCAAGGCTTTGGGTTGTCTTCAGGTGCTTTCCCAGGCCATTAGCAGGGAGCTGGATGGGAAGCAGGGCCGCCGGTATCAGAGCCTGTGCCCATATGCGATCCCAGTGTGTGCAAGGCACGGACTTTCTCTGCTAGATTACCACACCAGGCCCAAGTGTTGTTTTTTTTAACAAAATGCCATGCCTCAAATCTGAAGATTTTTTAAAAGATGAAATCAATTTTTACTGTATTGGAATCCATTTCACATTTCCAGCTCAGATCTTGACTATCCAAGTATTTGAATTTCAGTAATGAGATAAATTCTTAGTATGAGTATCAAGATTAAACACACTTCATTTAAGAACTTCACAAATTCGCACAAATATTAACATGTCAGAAAGGTAAGTGTAGACTCCCTGGAGTTTGGTAAAGTCTAAAATGGCCCTGCGGTGCGGATTCTGAAAGTCTGCAGAGATGCTCGTGGCCTGCAGACGGCAGTTCTGACCACTGGCAAGCGGGTGGGAGCTGTGGAGTCCAGGTCCCGCTGTGACCGCCTTTTCCGGCTCTGTCGTCTCCCGGCTGCCTGCCCTGAGCATCCTCTTGCTTACTGTGTCTCCTCTGCTTTGCATTCTGGTGTCCTTCGGATACCTGTTTTATAAATACACATTGCATATACAGGATGAGCAGCCCTAACCCAAAAAAGTTTGAAACACTTCTGGCCCCAAGTGTTTCAATTAAGAGATACTGAGCCTGGACTTGGGTCTACTTTTGTCTTTGGAATTGATTTGAGTGTTTGGGAGGCTTAGAGACTCCTGTCCGCTGGTTCACTCCACTAAATGCGCACACAACAGCCCGGTCTGTGCTGAACCGAAGCCGTGATCCAGGAACTCAGTCTGTGTCAGGGGTACAGCAGCTTGGGCCACCGCCTGCTGCCATGCAGCATCACCCTTAGTGAAGCTGAGGCTTGACCCGGGGGTTCTGGATATAGACGGTGGAGGTTGACCTAGCCCCGTCCTGCCCAGCCAGCTGCTTAACTGTTAAAATGAAATGCCTGGTGGAGGGCTACTTGGGTTTTAAATAGCTCGCCTTCAGCATATAAAAGGAAGTTTGAGGTGTCTGCAAGGGTGGGTTTCAGGATTTCCTTGTGAAGCTGCCTCTTGGGGCAGGCATTCGCTAACACTCGGGATGCCCTCATCCAGATTGAGTGCCTGCGTTTGAGTCCTAGCTCTGCTACCTGTGAGCTTCCTGCTGACACACACCTGACAGGCAGTGCTTGCGATGGCATAGTACCCGCCTGTGTGGGAGACCTGCATGGAGTTCTAGGCAGGAGTAGACTCGTAGACACAGATCTCTGTCTGTCTCTGTTCTCTTTGTTATGTGTGTCTGTGTCTGCCTTTCCAATAAGAAGGGAGAAGTATATAATACTTGTTTAAAGAGAACCTTTTGTATCTTCTCCCCTTTTCTCTCTTCACATACATGGATCCTGTATTTGTGCATCTGCCTTTTGTTGAGTTTCACTGGTAGACCCCTCAAACCAGTTCTTGGTGCTTTTCATTCAAGGACACGCGCAGGGCAGCATGAACGTTATCTCCCCAGTCAGCAAATTGTCAAGTGAGATCGAGCCCTGGGCACTCCCTCCTGTCTCAGCTGGGGTCTGGGTTGGAAAGAGCGGCACAGCAGAGCCAGGGGCAGGGAGTTTGGTTCCCAGCTCACACACCTGTTAGTGGAGTGGCCTCCTGCAAGTCACTGAACATGTGTGAGCCTCACAGAAATGAGTTGTAGATGGTCTAAGTCCATGGTGGCAGTGCGTGCACGCGTGCCCTGGGAGCATTGCTGCATGTTGGTGACAAGCACCAGGGAGGAACGAGGGTCCGCGCCCGGGGAGCTGCAGGCCAGCACCTCCGCCCTCCCGGGACGTGCTGCGTCTGTAGAAGGGAGGACATCAGTGTTGAGTCACCTGGCCCCAAGTGACATGAGAGCCCCGAGTGCTTCTCCCAACTGTAGGGGAAGCTTCTCAGCTTGATACTGAAGCATCTCAGCTAATTCTGTTAAAGAGTTTAAGGGAAAATTTATTTTCTAACATTAATCTTCTAGCTTCCAAAGGAAAATTGCCTATTAAGTGGATGGCTCCAGAGTCCATCAATTTTCGACGTTTTACCTCAGCTAGTGACGTATGGATGTTTGGTGAGTATTTTTTTACTTGGTATTTTTAAAAGTTGTGTTTCTTATATCCTACAAACTTAACTTAGCCTACGGTCTATTTTCAGAATCTGTGGGTTGGTTGGCCTTCCCTAACTGACCGTCTTCACCAGATTCTGTAGTTGCCTCTGGGCCGTGTTGCTGAGAATGCCCATGTCTTGTGCTGCAGCCTTGTCCAGGCTCCGGTCACGTCCCACCATGCTGACCCTCACAGCTCCTCCTCGGTCCTGCAGGGGAGGTACCTTGTCTGTTTCCGTCTTTCTTGCTCCTCTCCCCTTGGCCATCTTGTTCTTCCCTGTAATGTGAATGGCTGAGCAGTCACGTGTCTTCCTGGCTCTGTGATATCCGTCTGTTCCAGAATATCTCAAGTTGTGCCTCATCACTTTATTCTGGCGTCTAATCTTCCTGACTTGGTTACTAGAGCCTTCATCTTTTGTAACACTCGCTCCTCTGTCTACTTTGTCCGTTCCTGCCCTCTCTGGAGTCCTTGTCCTCGTCCCTCTGTCCTGTGGACTGCCGCAGACCCGCCCAACTGGAGCGCATGTGTGGCTCCGGCTCACTGCAGCCACATTTCAGAGTCACGCTTGTGTCTTCACGCGGCTCTGCTGGTGTCTGCCCTCTGTGGATGTCCCAGCCCTGGGCTTGCTCCTCCTACTGGAATCTCGTCTTCCCTTTCAGTGCTCCTCTTTCGGGAAGCCCTGAGCAGGATGCTGTCTTCCCTCTCTGCATGTCGTGTTGGCTGTGCATTGTCTTTGCTCAGGGGAGACAGCCTGTGGACTTTATCATGTTCCTCTTTTCTCCTGCAAATAAAGATAACTTTATGTATTAAACATTCTTTTTCTGTTTATGTACTGTTGATTTGTAGTAAACGTTTTAGTATCCCAGTTTAGTTAGATATAGGAAGGAACTTTCCAGTAATATAAGAAATGGCATGACATAATGGGACAAGGTTTTGGAGCCCATCTGATGTGGTTTTAAATGCAAGGCTTTCCTTGCTTAATTAGTCTGTAACCTGCAGAACAAGAAGCTTGCTGCCTCAAGAAAATTCCACAATTTAAAGATTCGGATAGGCCAATATTGCTTTACCCAGGGACATTGGTGTATTTTAAAATCAATGACATTTTACAGTTGACCTTAACTGAAAGCATGTTTTACTTAGCTGTTCTTGCTTGCTTTAGTGTGGGCTGTAACTATTTCGTTCATATTGTTACTCTAATGCCCAGATGAATTTAAAAGAGCTCTTTAGGTAAGAATAAAATTTAAAATTCTAAGAGGTAAGAAAAGATTATAATACTATAATGTAGTTGACAGTATTCCCTAGCCCACCTTTTGTTATATAAAATAATTCCCGGTCATTGGTGTCATGTTAGATTTAGTTTAATAAAATACAACATGTAGAGAAATGTAAGGCTGTTGTGAGAAGTGGGGAATGTATGTGGGTCTCCAGAAGACGGTGCCAGGTAGATATTTAATCCTCAAGAAATGATAACGGATGGTATTATTACTTAATAGTAGTGATAATACTACAGTATCTGCCAGGGGCATTGCTCTGCTCAGACTTTGCTATGAAATGACTGGATTTCTGACTAATTTCAGAATCAGGTTTGCCCAAATGTTTTGATGTGACTTATGTTCCTTGAGTTGGCACTGCAGATATAAAATAAAGTCATGCCCTGCTCTTCAAGCACAGGTGTACAACGTGTTATAGGATAGGCAGTAGCTCCTAGAGACCAACCAAGAAAGGTCCACGGGAGAAAAGTGCTGGGAGTGTGACTGGAGGCGGGAGGCTGGGAGTGCCAGGCCTGCGTACAGTGACGTGTCTGTGGCCTGGCAGCTTTAGAAGGTGACAAGAGGTACAGAAGAGCCAGAGCGGCAACCAAAGGATACTGGGAGAAAATACCACCCTTTATTTCACTGTCTTTTTTTTTTTTTTTAAGATTTATTTATTTTCATTGCAAAATCAGATATACAAAGAGGAGAGACAGAGAGGAAGATCTTCTGTCCGTTGATTCACTCCCAAGCAGCTGCAATGGCTGGAGCTGAGCCAATCCAAAGCCGGGAGCCCAGAGCATCCACCAGATCTCCCACACGGGCGCAGGGTCTCAAGGCTTTAGGCGTTCCTCGACTGCTCTCCCAGGCCGCAGACAGGAAGCCAGATGGGAAGCAGGGGCCACCAAAATTATTACCGGCACATGTATGAGATCCCGGCATTCAGGGCAAGGACTCTTGCCACTACACTATTGTGCTGGGCTCTCATGGTCTACTTTCATTGTTACCTTTCCTTCATTGCATTATATTGGGCACAGTCTCAGGGTTTTCTGTTTTGTTGGTTTTGGTATTCCCCCAAGGTTTATTACAGTGGGAGAAACAGACAAAGAGAGGTGTTTGATCTGCCGGCTCACTCCCTAAACAGCCACAACAGCCAGCGATGGGTCATGATGAAACTCGGAGCTAGGAGCTTGTTCCAGGTCTGCTGTGTGGGTGCAGGGCCCACGCACGTGTTCCAGGTCTGCTGTGTGGGTGCAGGGCTCAAGCTCCTGGCTCGTCCTCTGCTGCTTTCCCAGGTGCATTAGCAGGGAGTAGATTGGAAGTGGGAGATCCAGGACTAGAACCAGTGCCCATATGGGATGCTGGTATGGCATGTTTAACCCACTACACCACAATGCTGGCCCTAGTTTCATTTTTTTTTTTTGTAAGATTTATATATTTTTATTGGAAAGTCAGATATACAGAGAGGAAAGACAGAGGAAGATCTTCCGTGGCTGATTCACTCCCCAAGTGGTTGTAATGGCCAGAGCTGTGCCTATCTAAAGCCAGGATCCAGGAACCTCTTTCAGGACTCCCACCTGGGTGCAGGGTTCCAGCCCACAAGCAGGGAGCACGATGGGAAGTGGGGCTGCTGGTACCCATATGGGATCCTGGCAATTGCAAAGTGAGGACTTTTTAGCCACTAGGCTACTGCACCAGGCTTCCTAGTTTGTTTTAAAGGCAGATTCTTAATAGGGTTATTTAAAAGTTCAAGAGAAAGTTATTTTCGACCGTGAAGTCCAAACGAACTTTCTGAGGTCATCGTGTAGTTTCTAGATGGGATCACTGGCATCAGTTGACAGTACTTAGCTGCACTGTGGCAAGGGCAGCATTGTTAGGGATCCTGAGTTGTCTAAAAGCATGAGACTTAAATTTTTTCTTTCTCTTTTTTTTTCTTTCAGTTTGGTCTTAAGTCAGCTATTGAAATAAGTTGTACTAAAGGAGAAGGGAATCTAACATCCGACTAAGTGTATTTTTTTAAATGGTTCATTAAGCCATGCACTAGCACCCTAACTGGTGGTCCATCTTCTAAAGTATGATTTTCAGAGAGAACTAAAGATTTTGTGAGCACATCGTGATGAAGCACTTGTTGCACTTGTGTTACTGTCCAGCTGTTTACTGCTTTGGATGTGTGAGCGATGCTCACCGCTCCAGCTGCGAAGCCGTTCCTGAGACGGGAAGGTCACTCGGGCTGCGCTCACTGTGGTGTTTTCGTTCCCACTTCACAGGTGTATGTATGTGGGAGATACTGATGCATGGTGTGAAGCCTTTTCAAGGAGTGAAGAACAATGATGTGATCGGTCGGATTGAAAATGGGGAAAGATTACCAATGCCTCCAAATTGTCCTCCCACCCTCTACAGCCTTATGACGAAATGCTGGGCCTATGACCCCAGCAGGCGGCCCAGGTTTACTGAACTTAAAGCTCAGCTCAGGTAGGAGCGGGGGTGGAGAGGGCCTGGGCTGGGGGCAGTCTGTGCTGCTTCTCCTTGGCAGTGCGCAGCCTTTGGAGACCACTGTATCACAACGTCCACAGCTGAACTATTATCCCTTAGAGAAGCACAATTTGTAGAGTTGACTTACATTTCTCTGTATGTTGCACAGTCTTACGTGTGTTATGTCTGAGAATCTGCTTAATAAAGTCCCAGTCCTGATCGTGTATCTTCCCCCTGCTTTTGGGGTTAGAATGTCTTCTCGGGCCATGATAGTGCAGACCATGCTAGCCACTCTGGGCACCTTCCCGCAGCCCCCTGGTCCTTTGTGCCCCTCAGCACCTGACTTCTCTGCCCTTCACATGAACTGCCCTCTGATGAGCTCCTGTTCAGTCTTTGGAAACCAGCTCAGATGTTACCTCTTTCCGGAAACTTTCCCGACCAACCCTACCTCCAGTTCCATGACTGCGTTTTAGACATCTGGTCTCTGTTCAGATGCCGTTCTGTGGCTGGCTTTGTGCTCAGCACTGTTAGACCCCAAAGTTTTACCAGCTCCCCATTCCCTGGGGGCTACCAACACCCAGTAAGCATCCTCAGAGAGGTTGGCACTAGAACCTGGAGCTCCTGGCAGCTGTCCCTGCACACTCGCTGCCCCGCCCAGGACCTGGAGCTCCTGGCAGCTGTCCCTGCATACTCACTGCCCCGCTTAGGACCAGTCACCATGAGTGCTGAGTTAGCGTTTGAGCTAAATTGAATTGAGGTCCACACTGAGCCCTAATCTTTGTCTGAGTAGTATGTTGAGTGTGGCACACGGGCATGAGGAACTTGACTTTAGAAACAATGTTAAGGGTCAGCCTGTATTTGCAGATTTGGGTACTTCCCTCATTTTGTGTGATTTTGGTTTGTTGCCTAGGTTATTGCCTAGGCTTGTTGCAAGTCTCAGGATCTGTAAGATCCTGCAAGCCTGTCCAGACCCGCCTTCTCAGCTGGAGCTCTAGGCTCTGGCCACCGCACATCTTGCAGCAGGTCAGCCTACAGGGAAGAGGCGAGGTGGGCAGAAGCCTAAGGGTCATGCAGTCTGCAGACATTTTTGATCTGAGCTAGGCTTCAGAGCAGCCTAATCCCTGCCCCAGCGTGGAGGAGGAGGAGGAGACTGAGATGTCTGGGATGCCCTGGGAGCAAGGCTGTGTGCCCAGCCAGCGCTGGGCCCCTGGCTTCACTCCCCAGGGCCCTGCAGAATGCCAGTCTGCCTTCTCCCAGGATGGGGTGCAAGTATTTCTATCCAGACAGCCATCCCACCTCTTCTCTGTTTCTTTCAAGTTGAGAATCTAACTTAACTAATTCTCATAAAGCTTAATGATGTAACCACTTACTATTATAGGTAGTTTTTTTGAACAGTTTCTCTTGTTTTGCTCTTACTGGTTTTTAATTGTCCTGCCTTGATCTTTGTTCCCTCTGACCTCCTTCCCCTCACTGACTTGCTTTTCCTCCACTGTTACGCAGTCTAAGCCAAACTTTGTCTTCACCTCCTCTTGCTAGTCTTCCTGCTGGGCTGTCTTAGCCATTCCTCCGGCCGTGTGCCTCCACTGTCTCGCTCAAGCTTAGTCCTTCCCTTGTCGCACAAGTCCCAAGCCCCAAGCTGTGTGTGTTCCAGCTTTCCAGCCCAACATCATCCTCATGGGAAAAGCTCAGCTGTCGCTCCCCACCTCCTGCAAGTTAGAGGGGGCCTTTCCTTCATTGCAAGTGGGGGTCCCCCTTCTCCCAGCTGTCTGGCAGAGCTCACTCAGGCAGCTTTTGGGAACATCACTGTGGGAAAATTCTCTGCTCAAAACAATTCCAACTGATTCTGTCGCTCTTCATATTTGGGTAAGGGTTCCCAGTGTGGCCGTTACACCTGCTGCCCCCATGCCGGCCCTTTGACTGGCTGTGCTGCGGGCCCTGAGCCTGGAGGGCCCGTCTGCTCTGTGTAAGTCCACCCGTCTTAGCTGCTTCCACACCTGGCTTTCCTGTGACTTCTGGCTGCCCTGCCTCCACCAGAGCCGTTCCAGCTCTGTATTCTTTTGGTCTCCCTCGGGCTGCTCCCCCTTTCAGTTCAGCTGGACGACCCTGTAGAGCACCTGCACCCATCAAGCCCGTGTCAGTCCCTGGGCCGAGCTGCCTGACCCGCCTTTCTTGCCCTGAGGAGATCCCAGTCTAGCGTATCTCAGCCCTACTAGAAGGAAACTCCCCAAGGGCTGGAGTTGCCCTCTGCTCTTCAGGGCCCGGCTAGGGTCGGCCTGACTCTGGACTCGTGGCTTGGTGCGCCCACGCTCATTTCCTCATTGGTCTCGGGATTATTGCATTCAGGCAAATTCCCGGCAAACACTATCTGTCCCAGACACGTTGCCTGTTAGTGATGACTAGTTTGCAATGGACCTGTGCCCTTGTGCTGTGGCTCCTTTGTGCGTTTAGCACAGGTGTTCCGCCTTGTTCTACTTCGAATCGGACATTTCATACGGTGACCACCACATAGGCCAATGAAACAGCACTATAATAATTTGTGCAGAATTAAAGATGTCTTTTCAAGATTTATAGTGTAGTCAGGACTTAATAAATAATAAATCGTATACCCGTATGCATATCATAGTATTTAAAAACATTTCCCAAATCCCATCTTCTTTCCTAAAAGAAAACACTGCAGATGGACTCAGGTCATCCTGGATCCCACTCACCTGCAGCCGGACTCCAGATTCTTGCTGCATTAGTGAGAAAGTGACTTTCAGGATGAAACTTGTAAGGTAAAATCATAGGAAAGTTACTTTGGTCACACTTTGATGAGTTGATTCGTGTGACTCAAAGAGCCTGTCTTCCTCACATCCTGTTTCCTGTTCGTCGGCACGAGTTCGTGGCCCAGTAGGAGGAGCTTCATCTAGTGGATGGCTGAGCACCAAGTGTAGAATCTTCCTGTGTAGGAATAGTGTAAGTGATCGGCTGTGGGCGGTCTAATAATACAGATGCTGTAGCATTTGTGTGCTGGCAGGTTATTAAGAATGCAGTAGTAGTTTTTGAATGAGAAGTCATTTAACCCTGGTCAGCTTTTGTCAGTGCTTTGTTAGTACCACGTCAAGAGAATAGCTTTCGTGGTTTGCTCTTTTGGAGCTTACCTTCAAACGCTGTGCCAGCAGTGTTGTGCTTGCCTCTGCAGTGTTTGTGCCACAGTAAAAAAATAAAAGGGAGTATTAGTTTGAAAGATCAAAAGGGAACATTTATTTGAAAGATCAAATTAGGGAGAGAGATCAGTTGGTCTTCCACCTGCCGATTCCTTCCCTGAACAGCTGCAGCGGCCGGGGCCGGACCAGGCCGAAGCCAGGAGCTGGAGTTGTTCTGAGACTCCTGGAGAAGGGCCCAACACCTGGGCTGACATCTGTTGCTCTGCGTCACAGGTGGCGCAGTGGGGACCTAAGCCAGCCACGACACAGATTGCCAGCACTGCAGCTGGTGCCTTTACTTCCGCAATGTGACACCGGCCACAGAATGTTAGTTTTGATCTCAATTTAGGGAAACATCTAAGTTAAATTTCCTAAATCTTTTTAAATTAATTACAGTAACATAAAACAAAATTATCAGTTTTGATTTTGTGGCATATATCACTAAATTGAAATATTCAGTGAATTTTCACATATTAGATGTAACATCTAACCAGTAACCAGGTCAAGGAAACACCCGCAAGCCAGCAACTGCCCTGTCTCTGCTCGTCCTCCAGGGGTCACTGCTGTCCCGACCCTGGAGTGGTCTGACCTGTTTTGAGTAGGTTCAGGCATTCTGTGCCTATGCATGTGGCTCACCATAACTCCTCCAGCAGACTGGGGAGTCGTCGGTGCTACACACGCAGGCAGAATCCATCCTCAGCGCTGTGATATGCAGCGGTTGAGAAGATGTTACAGTTCACCTTGTCCTTTGTAGGTAGGAGTTAAAACTCTGCTTTGGCTGCATCAGGACTATCACCCTTCAGGATTGACATTTGACGCTGGCATCTCCTGTTTGAGTCCTGGCTCCTCACACATCCTGGAAAGCAGTGGGAGATGGCCCATGTGTAGGGCCCCTGCACGTACCTGGGAGCGCTGGGAGAGGCTCCTGTCTGCTGATAGGCTTGCCTCCAGCCATTGCGGCCGTTTGAAGAATGAACTGGCAAGTGGACAATCAGTCTCTTCCCCTGCCTCTTTCAGAGGCATTTTAAATTTAAAAAGGAAATCTTTTAAAAAGGATATTACCTTTTAAAAATAAGAGTATCTTTTAGTGAGCCTCATAGACAGCTGTTTCTGTTGAGTGAATTTTTGCAAGTTGGAGAGTGTGTGCAGTTTTAGCTTTATCGGATGCTGCCAGCTCTCCACAGCAGTTGTAACAACGTACAGTGAGTGCTTCCAACAGTGTGTTCCGCATGGGTGCAGTGGCCCAGGACCTGAGCTGTCTTCCCGCTGCTTTCCCAGGCCATAAGCAGAATGCTGTATCAGAAATGGAGCAACTGGGACATGAGCCAGAGCTTGCCAGGCACCACAGGTGGCAGCTTAGCCTCGTGTGCCAAGGTGCCAGCCCCCCACATTTGCATTTCAGCAGTAAAGGATCTTGTTTCTAAGATCTGAGCATGCCTTGTTTTCTTCTGTCCTGTTATTTCAAATCGGAGATGACCAATACTCACACCACTGCTCTTGCCTTCTTGCCTCTAGCAGCCATGTTATATTCTGTCTTAAGTAGGACATGCTTAGATGTGATTTTTCTTTATACTAATCATCCTTTGATTTTTTTGAATTTGAATCTATAAACGTTCTTTATCAAAGTGATTCATGGATATTTCCCTGGTCATTTGCAGTCCCCTCCTGAGATTACAGTGACCTGCCTGGAGTTGTGGCTTGCAGGTTATGCTTCGTCCTGGTAGAAGTCTTCATTATTGCACTTTCCATCCAGCTCTCTACGAATGCTTCTGCACAAGGTTGTGGGAGCTGCCCACGTACCAGGGCCTCTGCCCT